CATTTGTAGTCAGGGCTCCAACGCTATGATGAACCCTTTACCGTTGTTCAAATGTTGCCCATACCCCCTCTGACTCAGTCTCTTGCCTCAGCATTCCCTAACCCAGCAACCGAGTTTTAGTCAATCAAGTTTAAGTAGGCCTCCCATAGTGGGACCAGGATGCCTATTAAACTTAGAGTTGTGTGTGTTGGGGGGGGGGGGGGGGGGGGGTAAATCCAGATTTAGAACTGGTCTGATAAATGCTGAGCTGGGTGTGTGTGAACATGGGTTGATTAGCATTTGGAGCACAGATTCCCCTTCATGCAGTGCTCCCCTGCTTCTCTGGTCCCAGAATTCACTGCAGTCTCTGCTTCAGGCTTTCTGTTCTCCATCTCTCATGTAAATGAATGGTCATCTGGTTCCATCTCAGATGCAAATGAGAACTAGGGCAGTTGTTTCACTCTTGTCCCCCTTATCTGGAGGGTTTTAGGTGTGTCTCCCACTGCATCTTAATCAGTTTCATTTAGGTAGGGGGGGTGGTATTCTTCGGGAGTCAGACAGGCTGTGTCCTGTGCCAGGGTTCCCCAAGGACACACAGCTGAGAGGTAACACACTGTAGTGTTAGCTGAGGCAAGTTTGATTTGGACTTTCTGTTGTACATTTAGGGCCGTACTGTTACAATGCTTACCTTTTGTGTAGGCCCCTTCTGCCATAGCTTGTGCAATAGCACCGCTGCTGTACAAACAAAGGTACTAGAAAGATTAGACCTTTGTAAGTGACAAATATACTCACTGTGTGAATAAGAAAATGGGGCTGTGGTGACAGCATGGTTAAAGCATCTTGCTGTGGCTTCGGAGAAAGGAAGTTCAAGCCCTGCTCTGAACTGGTGCAACAAGGCAATCCCCAGTTGACCTGGTCACTTGGTCTGGGGAGTAAAAGGCAGTTGATGTTGGCTCATTCCCTTGCCTTCTGTTGGCTACAGAAACTGATATGCTTTCACACTGGGTCACTGGGCTTTTCCTTATGAATTGGATACTTTGTTATCCATCAGATCAAATGATATGCAGCTTTAGGATTGGAGGGAAGATCTTAGTCAGTCCACAAGTATTATCTTCTGGGATTTTTTTTTCTATAAATATGCCACTTGATGTGATCTGGTCCCTTTTAAAAATATTTTGTTCATTGGTATCTTAATGAGATGTAGTTATTTCAGAAAGAAATGCTATAACAGTACACCAAGAAATAGTAACTGTTAGAGGCAAGGAAATCATTCAGCTTCTCCTTTCAGTTGGCTAGCGCTGGTGGTTGTTTTGGGGTTTTTTATGGTGTGTATTTTTTTTAAAACAAACTTCTTACAGCAAAAGTCCCTTCTTGACCATCACTAGTAGGTAAGTAGGTCAATAAAGAGCTGTCTATCCTGCCTATTATGTTACCAGATTTGTCCAGCCATTTGAGGTGCGCTCCTTTATTAGGGTTACATTTCTGGGGTCTTTCAATTCTATCAATGTACTGCTTCTGTCACTTATGTTTCTATATGGAGCTCTACCTCTCCCCTCTGCAAGTACTCACCCCCAATGGAGCTGCCTTACAGGGCTTAGTTTCAATGGGGCTGGGTTCCTCCAGCTACCAAATCAGAGAGAGAGACACACACACACACACACACACACACACACACACCACATCTGAGTGGGCACAGTTACTCAATATTTCCAGGCTGATACCGTCATGCACCCCAGAATCAGCACAAGAACAGAACACATCTGAGCCGGCTGGGTCAATCAGCATTTACTGGCTGACACCCTCATATGCACTACAAGGGAGAACATTAGGTTTATTTATGGGTAAATGATGACTCAAGGGAGTATACCAGAGTTGTTTTGTTATGCTGGACAACAGGAGCTGATCATTTCAGGCTATAGGCGGTGTTACTCTGAGAGAGCTCACAATGCAACAGGCAGTTTCAGTGTTTTGGGTACCAATAAAGGAGTCATCAGTAGAATTGGTCTGATAAATGCTGAGCTGGGTGTGTACAGACATTGGTTGGTTAGCATTTGGAGCAGAGATCCCCCAACATGCAGTGCTCCTTGCTTCTCTGGTCCCAGAGTTCAGTGGAGTCCTTGCCTGGAAATCTCTGTTCTCCACTCTGAATGCTAAAGGAGGTGCCTCCTTGTCCCATCTTCAATGTAAATAAGACTAGGGGATTTGCCTTACTCCTATCACCCTTGTCTGGAGGGGTTTAAGAGCATCTGCAACTACATCTTCATTGCCTTTTGTAAGTCCTTCCTCTGATCAGTTCCGGTTCAGGTAGAGGTGTGGGGTGCGAAGTCCCTCATGAGTTGGACAGGCTAGGTACTGCGCCAGGGTTCCCCAAGAATACAGAGATGACAGGTAACAATTAGTTGCCTAGGAAAACTTGGCTAGAAGGGAATAGAAACATGTCATAAGATGAACATTTTTAAGGTGGGCTTACGTGCAGGTTTTATTTTACTTGGTATTACCAACTCAATTAAAAAAATACTGAGACTGGGAAAGGCAAACTGGGGTGTGTCCACTTAAGTAGGGTTGTCATAGGTTCTTCTGTAAAGCTGGGATTGCATGGGATCTGGTAATAGTCAGTAGTAGTGGAGGGAATAGGGAGTGCTACTCACCAACTTTACTATGGTGAGCTGTAAATGCCAAAAGTTTGGGGAAAACTTTATAAAATTCATGAGATTTTAAAATTTAGTATAATTCTGATTTGAATTTATGCCTCATGTTTTTTTAGTGTGTAGTCGGGTGACTCTAACTTTTTTTGGATTTGCATAGCTGGACTTCTTTTCTGCCAGAGCTACTTAAGGAAAGTACCAAATGTTATGAGACTTGTTGGGGCAGATTGCAAGAATTAACAAGACTGAGTTAAATTAAATGACTGTATAAGAAGTACCTGGATTGAATGCCATCTCTATAAAAGAACAGAGAGAAAAGATCAGTTTTAAGCGTATTAAAAATATATATCCATTAGATGGCTCAGGCCAAGTATAAACATTCAAAAAGCCTGCACTGACTTTCACGGCTCTTATCTAAGTGCCCTAGATGAGTTCAGGAGTGAACAGAACCTAACACTCACCCTTTCTGTCGGGCAGGGCACAGAGGTGGCCTGCAGTGGCTGAGGCCAGCAGGCTGGGGGTGCTAGAGCACACTTCCCAGCAGGCTGCTGGAAGATGCCAAGCCCACCTAAACAACCACCAGTCCCAGTCCCACCCCAACCAGTTGTCAACTGCAGGGGGAAGGGGCAAAATGGAATCCCCTCTGGCTACGTTGGCTTAGACTGGGGGGGGGCTGGGGCTGTGTGGCTGTTTGCCAGACTGGGTGGGAAAGTGGAGCCCTCCTGCTGTGCAGGGACCCTGTCCCCCCAAAGCTTGCTGCCTTGGGTATGGGGAGAGGCTGGGCCAGGTCCACATCATGGGGGGTCTCTGCTTTTACCCCCATCCACCAAACATGATGGCTTCATACAGGAGTTGCAGCTCAGACCTGCATGGCTATCTGTCACACTGGGAATTGGGGGTAGGGGAAGCAGAGCCCCCTGCTACACAGGACCCACTGGTTATACTGACTTAGGGGGTTAAGGCAGAGCAGAAGTTAAATATTGGTGTAACCTAAACTGATTAAATCTGATACTACATTCATCAAGGTCTGTCTTAGAGTGAGTTCCACATTTTTATATCAGTTTATTTGTACTGAACTTATGCTGTGTTACAGGTTTAGATTGGCTTTTGATCACTTATACTGGTTTATGCGTAATGGCTGTCCATAGCCTAACATAGTACTGTGCAAGGTTCAGTAGACATATGGAAGCTGGTGAAATGAATATGCAAGATCCCAGGCTGGCAGAAAGCAGTATGGTAAATCTGCTGCTCTGCTGTGTTTTCTGAGGCTGTGCAAACTTCTGTAGAGAAGGATTTTTGTGGTACAAAGGGGGAAGACTAGGAGGACTGCAATATTATCAGCCCCAAATGTCTAAATTGTGAGTCAAGCCACCAAATCCTTCAGATTTTTACAAATGATACCTTCTGAGCTCTCTCTTGCGCGCGCGCGCTCTCTCTCTCTCTCTCTCTCTCTCTCTACCTTCTGATGCAAACACAAAAGATTCCTGCTTTTTTTTTTTTAAGGGCTCTCTATAATCCCATGCACTTGCAATATATTTTTACTTGAATAAAACCTGAGTATCTCATATTCATCTGAATCCAGGAGTTGGAGAGTTAAGAACAACATCTCCTAATGAAGCGAGATTAACAATGAGTTGGCAACACAGAAGCAGGGCACCTGGGTTGCCTTGGGAGGAATGTGGCATTGGAGGCAGCTCAGAAGTAAATATGGTGACCCATCAGGTTTTAGGACCTTAGTAGCTAAGACTATTTGCTATAGCTGTGTTGTGCTCTGTGGACAATCGGAGATAGTCTGAAAATACAGTAAGTCTGATATAGCAGTCTAATAATACAGCAAGTCAGGAATCCATGAAAAACAAGACTCAATGATGCAATATATCTAACGTATTTTAAATGGCCTAAATAGGGTAAGTAGGTACTAAAAAGTTATACCCCGCTCCATGCAGGGTAGAACAGAGAGGTTGAAAATGTGTGTAGCCCAATTGCATGGCATAATTATAGGAAGTTCATGTAAAACCCCACCTATTTGTATCAGTTGTCATATCTAGACCACAAACTGACTGTGCCAGGCAGTGCCACCATCAAATACACAAAGTCCCACCTTCTGTACTAAAAGGAGTGTAGCAACATCTACACACACTGAAGACAGGCTAATTGGCATTGACTCATCATGATGCTAATTAGCTTGCCCCTGGTGCCATGTAAGTACTTCTGATCTGGGAACTTACAAGCACATAGCTGTGTATGCACGGCATACAGAAGGTTGTCCTGTCTCTTACAGTAAATAGTGCAGTGTAAATCTGGCTTCATATTAGAACATTAACATTAAAAAAAATCCTAGTATTATAAGTTAAACCTAAACAATTTTTAATCTCTTATTTATTCAGAATCTTGTCAAAGTGCTCTGTCCAGCTGCAGCAGGGGTCTTGTAATGGTTGCAGTGAGGTGGACAATTCTGCTGTGCAAGAAAAGCCGCCACTCTTCCAGCCCGAAGAACCTTCAGATAGCTGAAAAAGAATTTTAAGTAGAAAAACCTTTTTCTCTCTAATAATCCTGATGGAAATGTAACTACTTCAGTGCTAGTTAGTTTGGTGAGCTACAGAAGGGAATATCTGAAGTTTTGTTCAGTTTTCTAAAATCTTTAAATGCTAAGATAAATGATAAAGATAGACAGATCATTTAAAAGACCTATGTGGCTTAGAAACCATTTTCAGGAGACTTGAACATTTAGTTTAAGTATTCTTGAAAAAAATCCCACTTGTGACACTCTTGGGTGCCTAAATACTTCTGAAATCTGGGTGTCTAGCTCCCTTTTTTCCATGAAATTTTAAGGGGTGCATCTTCAGAGATGCCTGAGCTAGCTCTAACTCCTGTAATAGGTCACCCTTTGGTCCTTCATTTAGGGAAGAAAGGGGAAAGAACACAGGCTGGGGAGGCTAATACTGGAAAGGACCCAACAGAGAATGAGTGAAGGTAAGTGTCTTGGACAAGACCAAAAGAGACTGATAACAAACCAAAGGACATTAAGGTGTGGGCCTACTAAGAAGTCATAGGAGGCTTTCCAAAGGGACCCAAAGTTGTGAAAAGTGCTGCACCTTTGCAAGCAAGGCTCACTCTCCTTCAGTAGTCTGCCCAGTATATAAGAACTGCACCATGCCTAGGAAAAGCTGTCATTAGTGGGCAGTAACACCTAACTGGGTTGGAGAAGTACAGGTACTTCTTGACAGAGTCGATTGCCCTACACTGCGCTTCATACTCCCAAGGCTAAATTGCTGTCAATACCTAAACTGGCTGCAGTCAGGATGCAACCTTTCGTTCTGGGCTGTTGAAGTTGCTTTGGAAAATGGGACTTAAGCACTTCTTGGCATATTAAGTGCTTGTTTATTTGGACCCTATGAAAATCTTCTTATAACGTATCTTGCTAAAAATGCTGTTTCAAACCTTTTGAAAGGAAATAAATAATAATTTAACTTTCTGATTGGAAACATATAGTAGGAAAAGGGCAATATGATATCCATTATGACATATAAGATGACCAAAATTAAGAGAATGCAAGTAATTCCATTATCAGAAACCGTCCCTTTTAAAACAAGTACACAAGTAATATGTGTAAAGCTAACTCTCGTATAAAGTGTAAACACAAGGTAAATTAAGCTGTCATTGACTATTACTTTTCAATGACTTCATTATTAAATTCTATTTTACTGCTTGGACTTAACACCTACATTTATAACCTGCATTTCCTAATGTGTAGTTGGTAGTTTATTTTATTTTATTTTTTTAATTTTAAGCTACACCTGAAGGTGTCTGAGTAGTCTTCATACTTAGGAGACTAAAGTATATAGCTGATAAACTGAAGAGTATTTTCCCCTTAATCACAAGTTGGCCATTGTGCCCACCTCCTATCTAAGAGGTGCTCCCTAGCTGCCCTGGCCCGACTCAAAGATCGTCTGGGTCCAAGGTCTGGGGTGGGACCCCTGAGGCTACCCTGGTGGATGTTTGGGGTTCCCCTTTTCTCGCCTGCCATGACTTTGATGTTAGCTTCAGCGGAGGGGTCCTCCCTAAGGGTAGCCTTCAGGGCAGACACACCGTGGGGCGGGCACTCACGGGGCTCCGACCTCCCCTATACCCCGGCCATTCGCCACCTTTCCATTGTGGGTCTTTGAGCCCTCAAGCCCCTCAGGGTTTCTTCGGTCCCTATCCCGATTTCTTCTGGCCCGCCAGCCACTCCGCCAGTGACTCCAGGTCTTTGTCTACGCTACCCAGGCCCTGAGGCCCTCTGCCTTAGCCTCAACTATCCCCGCACTCAGGTCTGCTCCTACCTGCACCGCGAGTGGTGTGTAATCCCCCTCACCGTGATTGCTAGCCACAAGTGGGTCCCTGTTAGCCCAGACTTCCCCTATAATCTAGCAGCTTGTCCCCTCCTAGGGGTCTCATCCAATAATAGTCCTTCAATAGCCTTCCGTGTCAGGAGGCCAGCTGGCTAGCCAGTCTACCTCCCAGCCAACCTCTCTATCAGAACCCTCGCTGACTCCGCCACCGGTTTGCCTTACTGAGCCTACGTCGGTTCTGCTGCTGGCTCTCCTGCTTGAGTCCTCGTCAGCTCCGCAGCTGGCTCTGCTTCCTGATGCTTCACTGGTTTCTTTGCTGGTTCTCCGGCTTCAGTCGTCGTTGACTCCCCAGCTGGCTCTGCTTCCTGAGCCTTCGCTGGTTCCTTTGCTGCCGGCTTGCCTGTTTGAGCCGGCTCTGCCCCCACCTTCTCGGCCGGGACAGTGCTGCTCCTGCCGCTGCCGCAGCCGCAGCACTCCTCGAGTCTTGAGCGTTCCTCCCGAGCCTCTGGCTCCTTGCCCCTCTCCTTCTGCCTTCCCGGGGCCGTCTTTTATCCCCTCCGGGTGGCGTCTCTTTCTGACATCACCTTGCTTCAGCCGGATATAGGTACGGCTGACAAATCGTTCCGGTGGTTTGGCCATGCGTCCTTTGGTCCCTGCCGGAGGTAAGTGGGGTTTTCTTTTGTTTTTTTCCTGGGATCCTTCGACAATTCCTGTTCCCCTGGAACAGCAATCCTTAAGGATTGTTTTTTGAAGTCATGGAATCCCCATTCCTAACATCATGTTGTTGATGTGGATTAAGAATCAAGAGTTGCAAGTAGATGATTAAAAATAAAAGTGTGTGAGAGTTATACTACCAGCTAAAGGTAGTGTCCAGAAATTAAAATGCTTTATAGCTGCCTCATTCTTATCTCTTACACTCCTTTCTATGCCCCTTCTTCTGTGGTCTCTACTTTTCATGTTCTTCCTGTTTTGTCTTCTGTTTGCTTTCCATCTTCTCATTTAACTTTCTGACTGTCTGTGTCCTTCCTTCTCCTATTCACACCTCCCCTGCATTCACACTGCCCCCGTAACAATTGTCACCTACCTCCACTGATCTCAAGCTGCCTGACATTCTATATTAGCATCTCTTCTGCTTTTTCTGTCCCCTTAGAGTTGACATTCCCTTTTCACCCATAGAAGAAATCCACATGCATCTTCAAAAAAAGGTAAAAATCTTGTTTGGGGTAAAAATGTTTGAGCAAAGTCACAACACTGAGGGGCAGATCATCTTAACTATGGGTTGAAGTTGATGGAAAATTGACACACACTAATACAGCCAAAAATTAAATAGGATGATGTTTTTATGCTTCAGTAGTTGACTTCCTTCATTTCACTACCCTTCTCCCACTTCTCATTTCATTCCCAACTCCATTCCATTTAACTATCTGCCTCTCAGTTTCCTGTTTCCCCTCCACCTCATCTCACACATCCCCACCTAGAGCAGGGATAGAAGCCTGTCCTGGCTTACCAACCCTGTAGCAGCAACTCACAACTAGCTCCTAGTTGGGCCCATGCTCACCAGGTGTCTAGGGGCCAGTCACAGCTGTGCAGGTGTGGGGAGAGTCAGAGAAGGCTTTTAACCTTAAGGTGTGACTTTTCCAAACTTGAGCTAGCACTAGCACTGCTTAACATTTGATCAGCTCAGTGCAATGTATAACAAGGCCCTTTCTGTCTTACCCCCCTCTCCTCTACTGTTTTTCAAAAAGTTATGCCTGGCTTCCTATGATTGGAGATCTGAGGAAACATTACTTGGATCCTCAAGCTTGTTTAACTATGTAGTTGGTCCATTAAAAAATATTGTCCTAAGAAACCCATGCCTCTAGCATAATGCAAATTACCTTGAAACAGGCAGGAGCAGGACCACAAGTTTCAGGTGGTCACAGTTGCTTCCTGGTTATCATCATTTTTACACTTATAAATTAAAGAAAAGAGAGATTTCTGAGTGCAATTACTTTCCAAATTTTGTCTCAAGCTTTTATCCAATGTGAAGATCTAATATTTCTACATATAGTAAAAGCTGCGTTATCTGGCATCTTACAAGCCAGCATGCTCTACTAACCATCATGCCAGCTTGTAAGATAAAGTGAAACTGGAAGCGCACACCGTGGCACTTCCAGTTTCTCTGAGCCCCCACAGCCAAGGGCAAAGTAGCCTGAACTGCCAAGCCCCCATGGCCCAGGGGCATAACAGGCTGCGTGGAGTTGTGCAAGGCCCGCCTCCCTGTCCCATGGGGCCCGGAGGATGGGTGGCAATGCAGCAGAAGGGACGGCAATGCCATGGGATGGGTGGAGGGATGCCCCAGATGTGGCGGGAGAAGCAGCAGCTGGGTCCACTCAATTAACCGGCATATTTTATTATCCAGCATCCCCCATTCCCAGGGGATGCCGGATAACAGCTTTTACTGTCTTACTTGGTCTGTTCTTGTGAGTATAATAGCAGTTACAGGTTCCAATTGAAACCCCAGTATTCTAGGTGCCCTATAAACCCATTGTGTGAGATGGGCCCTCTCCCCAATTACTCAAATTTATAAACCCAGTCAAGCCAGAATGAATAAGAATGTCACATGCTGAGTATTATCTTTTGTCCACCTGTTGTGGTAGGTATTAAGTACTATTTTCCAGAGCAAGGCTAGCATGATGTCCTTAAATAGAGACACATGGAGGGTGAATGCCACAACTGTAAGTAGAATATGGTTTTCCCAATTCCCTGTTCCCTAGAGTAGTGGCAGGAGGCAACTTTTAGGCAAGTGTGCCACAAACTAAGTTCTGTGCCCTCCTCAAGTGCCACTCTGATTCCCTTCACCTGCTTAATGGTCTCCTCTCTTTTCTGCTCCCTGTCAAGTCTGCTGCTTTCCTTTCTGCTCTTGCTGTCTGCTCTCTCCCTGATCTACCACATGCCACAAACAAGGAAGCTGCCCATGCCACTTGTGGGACTCCTGTCAAAGGATCATTACCCCTGCACCCTGCCTGTCTTCTAACTGTTCAACACTGTGCCAAAGCATAACTCTTTGAAACAACAAATAATCAGCGATCTTCAGGTCTTTTGGGCAGGGAGATACTTAGAGCTGTACAACCCCCCCCCCCCCCCTCTAAAAAAAAGGGGCCCCCCCCCCCCCCCCCCCATTTAAAAAAAAAAAATTTCAACCTTCCATATATTTGAATTTCAAATTTCTTTATGCAATTTACTGTCTCTAATTCAAAAATGTCACTTACCTTCAAGGCTTTATATGCTTCCCTTGGGTATCTAGCCAGACTAATTGGCTCAATTACTTCCCTTTGTCCCTCCATTATTACAGCATATGATGTATGTCAGAAGCCTAAGGTTCTCTTAATTAAGATCAGGAAAGCATGGAAATATTTGTCTATCAAGATTCCTCTGAAAGCTTAAACACACATTGACAATGCTAGAAGCTACAGTATCGAGCCTCTTATTTTTTCTTCATTAAAATATTCAGGTGCTCCCAAACTAGGATAAGAATGTCTGTCTGTCTCTGTCTCTCTAAAAATAATAGTATTTACAGATCCAAAAATTGTCAGTTTTGTTTGTTTGGAGTTTTTTTTTTAGTGTCTAATGATTTTTGGAGTGTTTTTCAAATACTTGGGAACCCAACTTAAGATACTTCAAACGGAGTGGAGTTTAACAGATGAGCACAAATCCTCCTAATATTGGTGCTTGTAAGGTATCACAAGATGGGCAATAAAAATTATGATTTCAGCCATTAGGATTATTAGTTTTTTCAGACTTTGAATCTCCTCTATTCTCCTTCACCATTAAATGCACACTCTGCAGATGTGTTAAATATATCTGGCATGTATCAGATGCAAGTCAGTTTGTAAGTACCTATTTTAGTCACAATATAAATCTAAAGATTTGTAGACCTATACACTGGTCTCAAATTCAGGGTCAGTAATCTTACTGAAGACATCACCTTCATCATAGGAGGATGCTTGGATGGCATCCTTGAAATACTGTATTTTTTCATATGTATAACATGCCCCCCAAATAAAACACAGGCCTTGGTTTTGGAAGGCAAAATGTAATTTTTTTTTCTGGAGTTATGGCCAGCTGTGTGACAGTCCTCCTGGGAACATAGGCTGCTTACAGATGCTTAAAAAAAAGGGTACTAAAAACTTGGCACACTGCTGTTGCCAAGCCCAGTGCATGCCCAGAAGAGGCATTGCATTAGTTGGACCTATTTCTTGCAACATCTATATAGATCAGGCACTTTAGTGGGGCTTTTTTGGTGTTTTTATCTAACAGCTGATTAAATTTGATAAAAGTGCATAAAAGCCTTGGTGCGGTGTCTGATCCATATAGACACTGTGGAGATGGGTCAAACTAACATGCTGCTGCATGTTTTTTAACATGCAAGTGCATGTTTTTATGTCTGTAAGCAGCCACAGTGTCCAGGAAGTATGTCATTAGAGGAGACATCTGGGTGAAGGCAGAAGGACCTTCCTCATGCTACACTTCCTGGACATTGTTTCACAAGGTCAGGCCCTAGACCCTTGCAAAAGCAGTAGCCAAGACCTGTTGATTTATTTATTTATTTATTATAAGCTGTCCTTTTATAAATTACTTGAAACAAACTGTTGTTTTCATGTCACAAGCTGCATCAAGATACTATCACCAACTCGCTGCTTCAGGCACAAGCTACAGTCCTCAGCCAATAGCTGTGATTGTGAGGGTTAACACAGGAGTCCGCCATCTTCACAGCTGCAATACATGCACAATGTCTCCAGGATAACTTATTTTCCAGCAAAGAAAGCAGCATTTCTGCTTAATATCTGCATCCCAATATGGCATGGGAGGGAGCAGGGAAGTTGTGCATTGCATCTGAGAAAATATGGGTGAATGAGGGCAGGTGAGTTTTCAGGAAAAAAAGTTATGACTTCCTCTTAATGTAGTTGATTGCCAACCTAGAAAAATGGATTCTATCCCTCCCTCTAATATTAGATGTTGCACATATTACTTAAAGCAAACTTTGTGTCCTCCTCTTCTGAACATGCAAGTTTGACAGGCAGTTATAATAAGTACTTATAACTGGGATAAAATCAATGGGATGGTGCTGGAAAAATGAAAGTTCTTATAAAAGGCTAAGTATTCTGGAAATCCAGCTCCTATTTATTTCCAAAATTAGTAGACATTGAACAGTGCATGTCTGTTCTTAATGGTGACAGATGACAAAACAAGGAGCAACAGTCTCAAGTTGCAGTAAGGGAAGTTTAGGTTAGATATTAGGTAAAACCTTCTCACTAGGAGGGTAGTAAAGCAGTGGAACAGGTGACCCAGAGAGGCTGTAAAAGCTCCGTCCTGGGAGGTTTTTTTAAGACCCGGTGTAAAGAGGAGAAGATGATGGCGTCTATGCTGCTCAGGAGCAGGCAGGAGCCAGTGAAGAAAAAGAGCTCCCCATGAGCCACGTTTCCATAGTTACTGCTCTGTAAAGTTAAAGCAGCCATGGAAAGAGAAAGACGGCAAGGGACCCAGAGTGACACAGCTCAGGCTGGAGCCCAAAAAGTGGGGTGGGATGGCTGCAGCAGCGGAGAGCCAGCAGTCAGCTGGCTGAGATGATCCGAAGACTTGTTCTAGTCAGAGAGGCTTAAATGGAAGAAGCATCGAGGTGAAGACGGTGCCGGAGCTGGGATAACTACACAGAGAGCAAGGGCTAGTCAGGAGTTGGCAGAGCTTATTAGCTTATGGTCTTCATCAGGAATCTTGGTTTTCTCTGATTAACAACACCACCCCCCCTCCACATTTTTCTGTGATTAAAAAGAAGCACCACTGTGTACATGTGCATGCCTGGGTTGGTGTATATATAGGTAGGTATCGGATGAACACAATGTTTTATTGATATATTTAAATTTTTAGAGGAATTTAGAAGCTTAACAATGCCTCAAGTATAATAAAGTAAATTCTAAATACCTATATGTGGTGGCATTTGATTTTTTTTTTTATCATGGAAAATCAGAGCTCCCCTACTCTCTTTAGTCACCAGGACATGGGACTTACTGCAGTTGTCTTCCCCTCCTTGCTGCTTAGTACTGCTGAGCGCCTTGATATGCTGATGCCCCTCACTCCTAAGCTACAGTCCCCAACCACTCATCCTCACTGGTGCCCCTCACTCCTAACGTACAGCCTGGTCCTGCTAGTCCCCCTCCCCTCCCCCCAGCTCTGCTGCTGCCCCTCATTCCTGACCAGCAACCCCCTGCCCTCTCACAGTTCTGCCGGAGGTGGACCTGCAGCTGCTCCCCACCCCGTCCAACCCCAGGCAGACTCACAGGATAGTGGTCTGTGGGGATGGCTTCCAGAATGAAATGCATGCAGCGCATCTCATATAGAAGCATAGGCAGCAGGTGGGGTACCATGAGCTGGGGCTGGGAGGACCTGCAACATGCTCCACAGCAGCAGCATGAAGTTGAGCATGGCTCTGGCCTGGGCCATGCTGTGGGCAGCAGGAGGAGGGTGAGGGACAAAGCAAGTCTGGCCCTGGAATGGCCTGGGGGAAGGAAAAGGAGATGTCTGTAGCCCCCTTGCCCCAGGTTGGGGCTCTTGCACTGCATCTGGCAGCCTGGTCACCGCATCCCCCGTCCCCTGCCCCAGCAGTGTTTCCTGGCCACCTTGCCCCTGAAAGCATAGGCAACAGCCCCTGGCACCACCAGCCCAGCCATGCAGCTCCTTGCTGCCTCTGACGGATGCTCCCACCCCCTTTCCCCACTGGAGGCAGGGCACCTCTGGGCAGGCCTCGTTGGCAACAATGCAGAGCTGGGCTCGCTGGTGGCACTGAGGACAGTCTTAGATGCCCCTGCACCACCGCAGCCCCGGCCCAAATGTCTTCCCCCAGTGCTGGTATGCATCCCCTATCCAAGCATCCTCTCATCACTGTTACTTAAATTGCTAATTGTTTAAATTACGTGCGAGAATTTATAAAGGGGGATAAGGCAAGGTGCTGTGTTTATTGATTACGAGTTAGACATAGAGGTTTGGACACACTATTTATACAAACGCACACAAATTATTATAAACATTATTACACGCAGGCATATACATAGAAAAAACAACTATTTTATTTACACATACACTACATATAGTTACTAGCAATAGTTGCTCAATATTAGCCTCAGGTAGCTAACCTGGGCTTATTGAGTAGATGATGATGATTTGAAGATAGCAGATTTGAAGATAACAGCTGGAGCGGAGTGAACAGATGCATCTGTACTCTGATGAAACAGCAGTAGAGAAAGAGACTTACTTAACTTGGCATTTTAAAAGTTTTTTTTTTTGTTTTTTTTTTTATAGGGATTGGCATTCTTTGTTTCAGTGCCTTGGGGTTTTTTTATACTTAGCTTCTATTTTTGTGTGTGTGTGGGGGGGGGGGGGGAGGTTGTTTTTAGCTTATCTTAGCCTTGGAGTGTTTTTGCTGCCTGTTTAGCAACATGGGTGCATTCTTTGTTCTTGTTGGGTTTTTTTTGTGTGTGTTTGTCTTATGCTTAAAAGGGATTTTTTTAGCCACTTATTAATTAGTTTACTGACTAGTAACCTACATTTGGTGCCTTGTTACTTACATAAACAGTTAATTTTTTCCCCCCCATTTTTATGTTATTTTTTTTTACTATTTTCTCCTTTACACACACATATATAAAGGCTATGCAGAGTTTATTTACTTATGTCAAGCAGAAGGATACAAAATGGAGTTTTTAAGTTGCTTACAGGACAAGACTAACATGGTTACATTTTACTACTATTACACTTTATGTTAACATTACCTTCATTATTTTAGTTCATGCTATGTCTTCCCTTTGACCCTTCAAACGTTAGTGATGAATGGGTCATAAACTACATTTGTTTGATAAGAAGATATTTTGTTTTTAGTTGCAGTTTCCAAAGTTTTGGATACATTGATTTTATTTAACAACACATATAACACATGACAAGAAATAAACCTTTTATTACCATAAACAATATTATAGGGTGCAGCATGATATTAAGAATAGCTGTCCCTGAAGGAGCTTATCCTGTGAAGATGTTATACTAATGATATGCTAACATTTGTTTGGCTTGTTTTGAAACTTTTAGGATTTTTTTACCTAGATGCAATATAGAAATACTGTGCACTTGTGCATTATTATGTGTGGCAGTGGGTAATTGGGTTATTTGCAAATTTTGCATTAAAAAGTTGAGCAGGGTTGTTTAACTGATTTTTATGGAAACATTAAAATTTAGCAAATTGTTATCTCTTATAACTATATCCTGAATTATTTGTTTGGTGAAATAATGTGTGAAAAATGGA